GTCCTTGGACCCTTAGGGGAATATCCCTACTTGCTATTCGGCAGCGCCCCTTCAGGAGGCATCCAGCGCTGCTGGCCCAGGAGTTCGCGCAGACCTGTTTGCAGATGCTGAGGTGCTGCTGATCCGCTTTCCACAAGACTCCAAAACTTGGGGCATTCCGGGGTACAGCAGAGGGCGTTTTGGAAATATTCATATATGACGATTGGTGGTGTACAGGATCATTAAGGTCTCAGGGTTCTCGAAGCCATTGGCCATTTTTGCCGAGGATCCCGTTTTCCAGGTGGATTGGTAGGACCCTTCCTTTGGAATACCCAGGAGGTGTTTTCAGAACACGCTAGTATGATTCTTCAGAGGGACCCCTGCAAACAAATCCCGGAGCATTCGCACTTTTGGCAGGTGCGATATAGTCCACCTTTATCTCCACCAGCTTTATTCGCGCCGGAGGGGAAAGCAGGAGAGCCACTGCTTGCCCCGGAGGAGCAGCTTATTCTTACTGGTTCGTAGTAGGGAATAAGGGAATATGATATAAAGGGATATATGTAGGGGTTATATGTCTGTTCCCTTATTCCCTACTACGAACCAATGATTATTGCGGAGCCCTAGAATGCCCTTCAATTCCCACGCACCGCTCATGTTGCAACAGCACTTGAAGGACGTCAAGCGGGAGGAAGTACCCGCACCGGCAGCTGCAGCTCCTCCTGCGCAAATGCCACGTGATCCCGGAGCTGCAGGAGGCATTCCGGAAAAAAATGCTGGGTTCCTCATGAAAGGAGTCACAGTCTAGGAAATATATGCGGGCTTGACGTTTGGAGGGCCGCGCTTCGGAAACTAGCATATGCCCCGCGGGAAGGTAGGAAAGGATCCATACATTCTAGTCCCGCCAGAACCTGGTTTGGAGTTTAGGGTTGAGGGCCGGGAGACCGATAACCAATCCATTCTTGCTCTACGCTGAACTTTACATCAATTTTCATCATTCCCTACCATTCTCCTCCACCTAATGAGCCAAACAGAACAGGAACCCTGAACCTCAACCCCTCAAAGGGAACCCTAAACGTCAACCCCCCAAGCCCTCGTCCCAAACCCCAAGCCCCCGGGTCCTAAACCCTAAATCTTAAACCCACTGCAGTCGGAAAAAGGTCCGAGAAAAAACGCCAACAAAAACAATTGGCTTTTGAATTTTGTGCTCTGAGATGGGGTTTCTCATAGGACTGACAAAGGGGCCTGGTTTTGGCGGAGCAGGAGCAGGCTTTCGCAAGCTAGAGGGTGTTCAGAAACTGCCAGCAAATAGTGTGACATAGTGTGGCCAAAAGGGTTCCAGGGGCTTCGGAGACTGGCGCTTCAAACCGAAACATCTTTTGAGCAAATATAACCCTATATAATACCCCATATTCATATAACCCCATATAATTAGCCCTGTATTCTCGATAACAACGAGAAGAGCGTCAGCATGCATTCTCTAACACTTTGCTCAGTGGAGCGTCCGGTACCAAAACAAATTTGAGATGTATACGGCGGATTCTAAAAATCCTGCATGACCCCTATATACCTTTGAAATTATAGTATACTCTGGTCATGCAGGATGTGTAGTATCAACAGTAGGTTGGGTCATTCCCCCCTTCAGTAGCTGTCCTTAAAGAGGTTTTATCAAGCGGCTGTTATACTTCCTGTTATTGTGGTAACAGTTACTGTAACGGGGAATGACCTAATATATGTATATAGAGTTCATGGCACTGCATGTGGCGAACGAGAGAAGAGCAAAGGGTATAACGGTATAAGTTACAACTGGCAAGGGATTCTTGGAGGGTTGGGTGGGACCTAGCACAGGGAAACGAGTGGCCTTGCCAACTTCTAAGCCCTGAGTTAGAGGTCCTAGCTCAAACTTGAAAAATCCGAAGCCTTAAACACTATAGATCTTGAAGCCTGTAAGTCCTGAACCAGAAATTCTTGAAACCCCAAGCCCTAGATCGTCCAGGCTAACTCCAAAACCCCAAACCGTTCGAACTTCTAGATCCTAAGCTCTAAGTCCTGGATCCTAATAAATCCTAAGCTCTAGTATCCACAAAAAGAATTAAATCCTAATGCCCTACACCCGAAAACCCTAAAGCCCTAAACTCTAAATCCCAAAAAGCCCGAAACCCTAAAACGTGCTTTGCATGTGAAGACGGCCAGCGGCCCAGCCTCTTCGGTGGTGGTAGAGCCTCCACTGCTCGCACAATGAAGAGCCTGGGTCATATGAGCTATATGAGCTATAGTCTAAACTCCTTAAAGGGCACCATATAGGGGATTATTTAGGGAACTATTATAGGGGTTATTAAGGGGGATACTAGGAGTTTAGACTACGCTCATATACTCTAAACTCCTTGAGGAGTGTTTTTTTTGGATTTTACAGAAGGTGAACTCCCATTATAGGTCTGCCTAAGGGGGATACTAGAAGGCGGTCTGTCCCGTTTGGCGGGTCCTAGGATTCCTAAAGCAGGAATGATGTGGGTACGGCCCCCAAGGCACCCTCTTCCTGGATTCCTGAATAAGGATTCCCCAAAAGGGGCCCGTTATTTTGGTGTGTAGGGATTACATTACATAGGAAGAACACTTGCCAGCAGGATTTGATTATTACAATTCTGTGTACTTTCATGTCCTGAACATCATAATCCCTCAATAGACCCCAAACCATTGGACAGTTAAGCTCTGAATCTTCAGCCCTAAACGCTGAACCATGGAACAACCTACCATTGGTCCCCAAAGTTCACCCTGGATGAACCTAAAGAGTGGCCTTAACTATCAACAAATGAAAGATGACCCGTAGTCAATGCGGAACCTACCGTGGTAGTTTCAGGGGGAGCCTATGAATGTACTCCCTGGCGCTCAGCAGGGAATGAGGACTGAATAATTACTGGGGGGTATATACAGGCACTGCTATAGGGATCCAGCCCCCCATTCCCTACTACTTACTGGTTCTTAGTAGGGAATAAAGGAAAATACTCCCTATACAATCCCTGTATTGCCTATTCCCTTATTCCTACTAACCCCTAAACCGTAAACCTACAATGTAATCCCTTATTCGCCTCTAAGAGCCAGTGAGTCTAACGCAGACCCCTGATTAATAAACCCCCTCCCCTTAATAGGGATTGTAATAAGGATCCTGATACGAAGGCCGTAAAAGGAGGGGCTTTATGAATCAGGGCTCTACATTAACCCCGAAACCCTAAACCCTAAACAGTAGTTTCCATTTTCTTTTCCATTATCCTCATATAACCCCTACATACAGCCGGGTTTATACATTATAAGCACCAGGGAGTTTAGGAGCATCTTCGATGACGATGAAGAGGATGACTTCCTAAAGCCAGACCCTGCGGCAAAGGCCCAAAAGCTTGAAACTTTAAAGGGTGTTGATGTTTAGGGTTTCGGATTTAGGGTTTAGGGATTTAGGGTTTCAGGGTTTGGGACTTAGGGTTTGGGACATTCTGGCTGCAAGATTTGGGGTTTGCGGGTTTGGGATTTAGGGTCGTCGTCGTTCTTAGTAGTCCTCCACGGGTGGCCATCCCGGTTTAGGACCCCCATCTTCTGTAATCCCTCTATAAACTATACCTAATCACGGGTTTTCAGGGGCCGCCTATTCTGACAAGCTCAGGGTTTGATCTCTTCCCCTGAAACCCCTGTCATAGACTCGAGGCCCCATACTTCCTAAACCCTATGCATAATCACATTTCTAATCCCTAATCCCTAAAGCTTGACCTGCCAGCCCATCAGTTACCTAAACAGGCAGAAAAAGGTGCTAGGACCTAAAACCCTACACCCCTAAGACCCTAAACCCCTAAAACCCTAAAACCCCAAACCCCTAAACCCCCAACCCCTAAAGCAAGTAGGCTGCGCCTCCGCGGAGCAGCTTGACATCCCTCTTCGGCAGCGAGGCGCCAAAGGCGCCCAGCGTGCCTCCGGCCAGCAAGGCACCGGCCGGCAAGGGATTAGGATTTAAAGTTGAGGGGCTTCGGGCTTAGGGATAAGAGGGTTTAGAGATCCGGCTTGGGGATGTTTAGTGCGATTAGGTTTACGGATTAGGGTTTAGGGGGGTTTACGGGTTGGGGCCTAGGTTTGGGAATTTCAGGGCTTAAATTCTGGGATGGCATGCTACGAAGTTTTCCGAGATCCTGAAAAGGGGCTTTTGTAGACTGCTCTCTCGGATGCTAATTTGGGAGTATGCCCATGTGAGCTACAATATAAAGGGGCCAGGGGTCTACTATAGGGGATTATTTTAGGGGTTATTAGGGGGGATACTAGGAGTTTAGGCCATGGCCCATGTGATTTGTAGGTGTTCAGGGTTTGGGCTTTAGGGGTTGGAGGTCAAGGCTTGGAGTTTCGATTTTGGAATTTATCAAAATCCTCCCTGCATATTCCTTGAGGGAGATGCTTACAACCTCCTCATAAGAATCAAGCTCCACTCCTTTAGGGAGAAACCCTACGGAATTACGACGGGGTTACCGGGCCCTTGGTAGCCTGTGAAGGGTTGGGTTTCGGGAAGCATTATGGATGATTTCTGCTGGTGGATCCCGCAGGGACTTTTGTAGGGATCCCTGTGTTTATTCCTTGCTAAGCCAGCCACTAATGGTGGGAAGTTGTGTTGAGGCATACGGCATATTTTGACAGCGAGTTCCCAGGATTTAGGCTTAGTCTTTGTTTTGTACTACGGGAAAAGTTTCGGGGAAGTTGATAGGAAGTCTGGTTGTCATGTACAGCATGTTGTCCGATGGTTGTTGACGCAGAAGTAAGGTAATCTGGGATTTGTCAGGGACCTAGATAAGGGCGTGATAAGGATGTGTTTGGAGAAATAACTTCAGACCACATTCTTTCACAGCTCCATAGACATGTGGCAGCGCTCTAGTATGCCTCAAGAATGCTGTAAGGCAGGTATATATGTACACACACATACAATTACTCGTTCTGCCCTGCAGTAAGCACTGTGAACGTTTCATCTCTTTTTCGGAGTCGCGGGGAAGTATATAGGAGTCCAGGGGAGTATACACGCTCTCTACAGACATATGGGTCATCAGTTCGGGTTCGGCCAAAAAACACAAGACTTAGAGAGCTCCATGCAAAGAGTGTGGAATTGGGCTATGCTGGATTTCATGATTGCATGATGCTGTATATAAACACTCCACTAACACTCTCTAAACCCTAAAACCCTAAACCATAAATCCCTAAACCCAAAATCCCTAAACCCATAAACCCTAAATCCTTAAACCCTAAACCCCAAAACCCTAAATCCATAAACCCTAAATCCCTAAATCCCGAAACCCTAAACCCTAAATCCTTAACCCCAAGACCTTGACCCTAAAAAAAAGACACCCAAATCAAAGCATGCAGGACAGTTCTCGTCATCCCGAGGTCTGACTCGATTGTACTGAAGGGCTCTTTACGTAGATACATGACCCAGTTTAGGATTTAGGGATTTGGGGATTAAGGGTTTAGGGTTTCAGGGTTTTAGGGATTCAGGGTTTAGGGTTTAGGGATTTAGGGATTAGTGTCTAGGGTGCATGCTCACATGTGGGAGTTCGGGCTTAGCCTTCAGGGGGAAGTTCACCACAACACCACGCAAGTGACCGCAGCGTTTCTCACCTCCCTAAAACTCCCAGAAGGGGCACACTGATTGGTGGAAACTTCAAACAAAGTGTGCTCCGTCGGGCTCCAGTTACCAGGAAGCTATTGGGCTAGGTAACTATATAGAACCCAGAGCCCATTA